TTTTAATACATCATAAAAACTATGCTGCCAGATAATAAATAGAATGTTCTATAGAATAGGTAGGCAATATAAAAAATAAACTCTGCTAATAATTAGTAATTATTAATAAATATTTAGCAGAGTTGCAAAGTTTGTGGAGTTTGTTCACCTATTCTATAGAACATCTAATAAGTATTTTAGAAAAATTATTATCAGAGCTGACAGTAGTAGAATTGATTATACTATGACTTAGAAAAAAGTAAAAAAAGTTTAAACAAACTTATTATATATAAAAGTTAGCTTTAAAATTGAAACTTTTCTAGTTTTCAACAATTAATTATTGCACAATAAGCTAAATAATATTTCTAATTATAGCCAGGCCAAGTTAATTTTTTGGTTCTCATAACCTGGCCAGGTCAATAAAGCCGGAGCTAAGAAATTAAATTTATTGTGGTGCAGTATATACTAGCCAATCAAAATCGACTATAAAATAATGATCTTAATGATTGGTCAATTTTCATATATGCTATAGATAGTACTACGTATCAAGTATACAGTATATGGTAATTTATTGTTAAAAAAAAGAAAAATTACAACTTATTTATTACAGGTTTTTTTTGTCTCGTGTTCGTTAGCTAGTTTTTAGCTATAACGCTTTTTTGAACTACCTATACCAACATATTTATTACAGGTTGGGTACATATTTTTTGACCCTACTTGCTCATTAGAAATACTATAATTGTCATATAGATAGCAGATATTGGGGTAAATCTTAGCTGAGTAATATGGCTTTTCTATTGGAGATACACATGTTAAGGAATTATTCACAAAGATATGTTTAAATAATTCCTGAATAGGATCACTAATATTTTTTGTACTATCATTAGAGAGATTTTCAGGTTCGATATCACTATAGTCAATATCCTCATCTTGGCTATCTTGGTTTTTCTTAGTTTTATCAAATTCAATATTATTTTTATCAAGTTCAATATTATTTTCAAGTTCAATATTATTTTTATCAAGTTCAATATTATTTTCAAGTTCGATATCATTTTCAAGTTTGATGTTATTTTTATAGTCATCTTCATCATTATTAGTGCTTTTATAACTATTAAGAGATTCTGATGACATTGTTGATGTTAATTCACTAGTATCCTGAAATGTTGTTTCACATAAATGTAGAATTGTTTTCAGGAATTGTTGAAGCATTTGACAGTTCTTATCTAAGAGCTTCTTCAAACTAAAC